AACCAATGGGGCACTAGAATTTGGTTACAGTACGATTACGGTCACAGTACAGTACCGTCCGTTTCCCWCTCATACGAAATTCGCTCTATAGGGGGTTGTCATAACGCAAAACCGTTATTTCCCCCCCCCCCTTTTTTTCGTCATCTGTCGCCGAGTTGACTACAACACTACAACCCTTTATTTTCGATATTCTTATTGAATGCCATATTTCATACGTCATCAGCAAATAAAAGTACAGTATACTGAAGCCGTAATCGACGATTCTCGGCAACCGAGGGATTTCTTAATCGTAAACCGCCACAAAAATGAGAGCAATACACTCTTTAAACTGTGCTTGTAAAAGTTTTGCACGATTGTACATTATAAGTTTTTGCATTCTTATTACGCCTACTAAGAGAAAAAGAGGATATAAAACTCTAAGTGTATGTTTAATAAACATGACAGCATGAGATATTTATAACTTAGAAATGCTAGATCCTGTTACAAGTAGATATTTTAGAATAGAATTATTATATTTTACATTTTAATCTAAAATGTTGTTGGCATCGTGATGATATGATTATGTTTTACATTTCACGTAACGTCTCTTTCCTGCAATGTAACGCATGGCCTCTGAAATAAATGTAGAACAATGGTATCACTGACTTATTTTATCTATATTAGTATAGCAGGGTTCTTAAAAAATTCCAGGAATTACTGGTTAATTACTTTTATAGATTCAGGGACAGGAGTTTGTGTGTGTGTGTGTTTTTTTTGTTTGTTTTGTTGTTGTTGTTGTTGTTGTTGTTGTTGTCTATTTTCAAGGACTTCTCCAGGTCTTTTCAAAGATTTCAAGCATAGCACAAACTGTGTTTTATAATTTGAAAGTCCTTTTGAGTTTTCTGAATTAGAAGTGCTTTCAGAACTGTAAAAACCATAACACGGCAGCTGACGACGCGTTTTACTCAGAATTCAATTCCTTTTTCTAAGACTCGCTCAACTATCGGAGGACCTTCTGACTGTGCTTGCGAACGAAGCGTTTTCACGATCGTCAGTGGCCAATAAGTCTTTCCTATCAACAACTATCATTATTGTAATGTCGTTTCATTTAATGTACCTGCGTAGGATCTCGGAGCCACAGACCGAACTTCATTTTCACTTTCAAAAGTGTAGTAAAAGATATTTGTTGTCTCTCGCTAAAACAAAAAAAAATATTAACAACATGTTAACCAGTTACAATAATGGAATAATTATAACTGTTGCTTAGAAAGACGTCTGTAGTGCGGCCTTGAGAAAGGAAAAAAGTAAAAAATCTCCACCAMCTCAACATGATAGGCGTTACCTCTCCGGTGCTAGGCTGAATGACATCAGCAACAGTCTGCAGACAAGCAAATGGTATTATTATAAATTATATTCATTGTCAATGATGACATTTATTATTTAGAGGCAATTTCAACATTTGGCCATTGGCTAGACTATTTTATTGTTTTGCGATTACAAGGAGAGACTSACTTGTCCTAGCCTGAGTATCAGGCTCTCTCCAAACCCCTTCGAGAGAGCCTGATGGGGTTACCTACGTAGCACGCAGTTTATGTATTGTATTCCATTGTTTCTCGTTCTATTGTATTATGTGTTTTGTATTATATCTTTATGAATATATTACATCAACTGAGTGCTACGTAGATTCTCCCGAGCCTGATACTCAGGCTAGACTTGTCCGACACTGAGTCACACTTACCATGATTTGAAACCGTTTCGTTGGCTGAGGAGGAGTGTAAACAACCTTGAAAATATAAAAAGAATCAAATATTGCTATCGATATTTTAGTTAGTATGACAATATCTCCAAGTAGCCGGGATA